GCGATTTGGGTTATGACCACGATTTGAGTCCCAGACCTGGCAGCTTGCTTTCTCACTTTCTCTCTCATGCTCTCTCTCTCACGCTATCCCTCTCTGGTTAAATTTAAATAAATAAATAAATGGATAAATAAAGTTAAATAAAAATAATTCTTAAAAAATTGTATGATCTCTGGGACCAGCAGTTAGTGTAATGGCTATGTCGCTAGACTCCCATGTAGTCGACCGTGACTCGCGTCCTGGACCTGGTGGTTTAAAACTCATGCTGGGCGCATGTGCATGCGTGCCCAAGATCCCAAGAGAATGGAGGAGAAGGGATTGCAGCATGGCCATCCCCCCGGGGGGTGATTTCTCGCTTTCTGTCTCTCTGTCTCTCTCTGTCTGGCGAGCACACACACCCTATAGCAAAAACCTCTCAAAAAAAAAATTGTATGATCTCACAGTTTTTTGGTCACAAGAAGAATATCCTTATTTTGCATTGAAGTTGGCAAGAATGAATACACTACTATCTAGATGTGCTTTGGCAAAGCTAAGGTTATAGTTGCAATTTCTCATTCGTAGTCTTCGCTACAGATGAGAAAATGAAAAGATTTTGGCATTGAATTTTAAGAAGCAAGCTATCATTTATCATTAGACATCTGTTCGGTAATACAATGATATTGAGAAATGAAGTTGATTTTTTTCAGATTTGGATTAGTTTCAAAAATAGTTATAAAAGGAAAGCAATTTGTGAGTAACATTCAGGAAAACATATAAAACCTAGTTAAATTTTAGAAGCTTTGACATATACGTGACTATCATCTTACATAGAATTGCATTAAAGAATGAATAATACTCCAATATTAGCAGTAGAATATATGTTTTGTCTTTTATTATTATTATTATTATTGTGCAATGAACCTGGTGTTTCCCCCCCTTCTTCCATTTGTATGAGGGAGTCTTCTAAAAATCATGGAAAATCACTATTATGAAATGACTATGCATGGATTTCAAAAAAAATTTGTACAGAAATAAACTCATATGTTAATTCCATTTCCATGAACTTTTGACGTCCTCTTGTATAGTTTTATGAATTTTAACAAATGTAAGGATTAATGGAACCACCACCAAAATCAAGATACAGGACATTTCTATCACTCCCCCAGATTCCCTAATGCTGTCCCTTTATGGTCACCCTCCCTTTGCCAATAACCCCTGAAACTACTGAGTTGCTCTCCATCCTGCAGTTTTATCTTCTTGAGACTGCCAAATTAATGGGGTCATAGAGTATTTAACCTTTTGAGAAACTTGGCATATGTCTCTGTGATTCATCCAAATCGTGGCATGTGTCAAACATCTCTTTTTATTACTGAATAGTATTCTGCTGTATGGATGGACTGCAGTTAGTTTACGCACTTACCCATGGGAGAGCATTTGGATTGTTTTCCAGTTCGGAGCAATTGTGAGCAGAATTGCTATAAACCAAGTCATGAAATTTCTGGGTCACTCAGTGTTTTATCTGCTCTGTTTTCATATATTTTATATATGTATATTTTTTCAGGTTTATGTTAGACCCAGTCTAACTTCCTTTAAGTCATTTTTGGAGCTGTTTTTCTTTCTACTTCAGATGTAACATGGCATCTTTCACGTTCATCAGATCTTCTTGATTCCCTGTTTTCTTCAGGTTGCCTTTACTGTAGGCATCTTCTGGAACGGTAGCCCAATATCTGTCTTGCTTTTATATTCCTATAGCTTAAGTTCATGATTCCTCTCCTCACAGAATCTCGTTTGCTACTTAACTTTGCTGTTTGTAGATGACTTTCAGATCTTCCTGTCCCCTTTGTTCAGTTGTGTAGGTCTTGTTCTCCAGTGGACACTTCCCAGTAAATGTCCTGTTAACCCTTAAACTTATGCTGGAAACTTTAAAAGACGTTTCTCCCCTGCTTCTCTTCCCTTGTGCAGCTTCCCCATAATTACGAGGTCATTTCTTACCTTTGCCATTGCTTTCCCCTTGCACATCCAGGCAGTAATCAAATCTAGGCCTTTGCTTTTTAGTCCTCACCTAAGCTCTCATGCAGATTCTGTTTACCTCATGTGCCATTGGTTTGTCTCGCTGACCTTCCAACTGTGTACTTGTTTTTCATCTTAAAGTCAAGATTAAAATCATCCTACAAAAAGAGCATTTTTCCTTTGTTCCTCCTTTGTTCATCTGTTGACCTCTCCTGTTTCAGTAGACAAGCCTGCTTCTGGATTTTAGTCCTTGCCGTGATAGTACTCTAACGGTGCTGCTCACAGTGGGTACACTTGATTATCCCTCCTATTAGGGCCTAACATGTTGCCTCCGAGTCTTCCTGTTCAGGTGACCCCTTGTGCTTCCAAGTCCTCATTTGTTAGACCCTTTCTTTCTCCTTTTATATGTCTTTATTGGGGTATAATTTCTCATGCCTCAAAACAAGTATACCTGGGAACCAGCAGTTAGCGTAATGGCTATGTCGCTGGACTCCCACGTAGTCGACCGCGGTTCGCGTCCTGGACCCGGTGGCTTAAAACTCACGCCGGGCGCGTGTGCGTGCGTGCCCAAGATCCCGAGAGGAGAATGGAGGAGAAGGGATTGCGGCGTGACCATCCCCCCTGGGGGGTAATTTCTCGCTTTCTGTCTCTATGTCTCTCTCTGTCTGTCTGGCGAGCGCATGCGCCCTATAGCAAAAATCTCTCCAAAAAGTAAAAAAAAAAAAAACAAGTATACCTGTTAGTAAGGAAGACACAGAGTTGTACTTGTATTGTAAGTGGTATGCCTGTCTACCTAGAAAATTCAAAAGATCAGAATTTAAAAAAATTAAAAACTTCAATGTTATAAATAAGTAGCCAAATCTAAAATTAATATATAAAAATTAGTACATAAAAATTAGGGACCAGCAGATGGCATAATGGCCACAGTTTGAGTCCTGGACCTGGTGGCTTAAACTCACTCTGGGCACGTGTGCGTGCGTGCCCAAAATCCTGAGAGGAGAATGGAGGAGAAGGGATTGTGGAGTGATCATCCGCCTTGGGGGATGACTTCTCTCTTTCTGTCTTTCTGGTGAGCGCACACATCCTATAGTAAAAACTTCTCAAAAAAAATTAATATATTTCTTTGGGAACAGTAAATGGCATGGTGGTTAAGGCGCTAGATTCCCACATGACCAATCGCTGTTTGAGTCCTGTACCTGGTAGCTTGAAAATCACACTGTATGCACGCATGTCCAAAATCCTGAGAAGAGAAGAGAGGAGCGTGATTTCTCACTTTGTCTCTCTCTCTGTCTCTCTCCAGCAAGCACACACAGCCTGTGGCAAAAAAAAGAAGAAAAAAGAAAAAGGTCATATTATGTAGGCATAGGAAAGAGTTTAAGATAATATTTAAATTGAAAAAAGTAGGATGTGGTGTATTACTGCAGTTGGCTAATTGAATTTTGCATGATTGTGATTTCTTTATACTTTTTGGTATTTTTCCAAATTTTTGATAATGTATATTTTGTAATTAGAAACAAAATAGTCATTTAAAATGATTTTTGAAGAACAGTTCATGTTCAAGATATTACAAGGTATAATGAATTCTCAATTTCTAAATTCAAATAAGTTTAAAATATAGAAATAAATATGTAGAACATTTACAGTTATCTTTAGGTGATAATAGCTTTTTTGAAATTTTATTTCTGTTTGTTTTACTGCTTTGCTTGGTTAGCACATCTACTACTTTTATAATAAAGTAGGAAAACCTCTTATTAAACAAAAAGTTTTTATCTTTACCAGAGACTTACTGAATCTTAACCATACCTAGTCCTTTATCTCATTCTGCTTATCATTTAATTAATATTATCCACATGTTGTCATATTAGATTGTGTTCATTCTCACCTGTTTTGTTAATGTTCTTTTTTTTTTTTTTTTTGAGAGGCTTTTGCTATAGGGCGCATGTGCTCACCAGAAAGACAGAGACAGAGAGACAGAAAGTGAGAAATCACCCCCCCCAGGGGGGCAAGGCCACACATGTTCACACACACCCGGCGGCGGGAGTTTAAGCCACTGGGTCCGGGACTCGAACCACGGTCGACTACATGGGAGTCCAGTGACATACCATTATGCCAACTGCTGATCCCTTGTGTGTGTGTGTGGGGGAAGGAGGGTTTAATGTTCTTTTTTGTTAAAAAAAGAAAAGGAAATTTTCTTGTGTACTTTCTCCTCTGGTCCCTAGTAAAAGACTTAATTGCTTCATATAAATTACTAGATAGCCCATGTTAGTATTCAGAAGTATTTGTATCTACTAAAAGTTGAAAATATGTTGTAATTTCTTTTAATGTATTTTCAATAAGCTAAAACAAATTACTATGTAGTAGAAACAGCACCCCTTTACCATGTGTGATTTTTAATTTTGGTTTTGGTTTTTGTTTTATAAACTGTCTATTGTTCTTTCAGTGTTAGGGAGAAGTAATCTGTTTTCATGTGATAGAAGTGAATATGAATCATGCTTAATTCCTTCACCCATTTTTCCCATTCCTAGAGTTCATCTTTAGCTGTATAATATGACATAGCAAGCATTAACCACTGCTTCTACATAATATGACCAAGCAAGCATTAACTACTGCTTCTGGGACAATCTTCTCACCAGAGAAATTGCCACTTGCTAACTCAATAAATAAATGCATCTGATAGGTTTAAGGCTTCTTTCAAATAGTGAGATAAATGTGTACAAATTCATAGTTATTTGATGGACTATTCACTTCCTACATACGTACACCAAATGTCAGTATGTAATGTCTACCTATGTCTTATGGCTATTAAATACGAGGTTCTGGGATGTGTTTACAGTTTGTAGAACTCTGAGATTAGTTCCAACATCTTTGAGAAGGCAGCCATCATTACATTTGCTATATTTATTAGTCAAAATGGAATGAAGTCAATCTGTTGAAAACTTTATTTTGCTTTTTTGATTAATGCGTTTAACAATATGTTCAAATTATGACCTTTAATATAATTTCTTCCCCAACAGCTTGGTGCTAACAGTGGTTTGCATATTATCATCTTTGATGAAATTGATGCCATCTGCAAGCAGAGAGGAAGCATGGCTGGTAGCACAGGAGTTCATGACACCGTCGTCAACCAGTTGCTGTCCAAAATTGATGGGGTGGAGCAACTGAACAACATCCTAGTCATTGGTGTGTTTACTTCTTTAAATTAAAAAAATGCTATTCTTTCAAATGCATTAGACACATAGGTTTGCATTAAGATCTGTGTGGGTTGTAATTATACTATTTAGCCAGTGTTTCCAAATTTAAATAAGTGACATTGAAGAATGTGGCTGTACTAATGGCTACACTCAATAGGAAAACCAGGAGGTAGGCTTTAGAAACATGGAGGTTTAACCTTGTCGCTCACCCACAGATGAAAAAGGCAGTACAATACGATGTGGTGGTTTTTAAACTGAGCTCTGCAGGCATCCGAGGGTCCTCAAGGGTGTTTCAGGGTCAAAGAAGGCCAGGGAGTGAGCTTCAGATCCTGCATCGCTGTTAGAACTTCTTCTTTTGACTGCTTTATGTACTAAGCTTCTCTTTGAGAGAGCTTTTGAAAACAAATTGCTGTTTTATGAAAGTTGAAAATCACTGGCCTATTAAAAAAAAGGAAGGGACTTTGGAATCAGGGAGATTCTGTTCACATTGCTCCTCTGTCACTTGAACAAGTTACTTACCCTCTCTGAACTTTAAATTTTCCTCTTAAATATTGGAAGTTTTCATTACATTGATATTCCTGGGTTGAACAGTAGTGAAATATTAAAGCAAAGCCTCCAGATATTTTCATTAGAAAGATCGAGAGCAAATGCTCTCAAATGTTTTTATTTGAGAATAATCTGATTTTCTGTGAGCTTTATAAAATGTTCTCTTGGCTTGTTAGAGAAATTAACATTCTTTTTTTTAAATAATCATTTATTTATTATTATTTTTCAATTTTGACAGAGACAGAGAAAGAGAGCAAGCTGCTGGGTCCAGGACTTGAACCACAGTCGGCCATGTGGGAGTCCAGCACCTTTAACTACCATGCCACCTGCCAGCCCCGAAATTACTATTCTTTAGTATACTGAAGGGACATTTTATCTTATTTTTGAACTCTAATCATTTGTTTGGTTTTTGTTTTAACACCTGTGATCAGGAATGACCAATAGACCAGATCTGATAGATGAGGCTCTTCTTCGACCTGGAAGGCTGGAAGTTAAAATGGAGATAGGTAAGCCCATCTGTCCCTGCTGGGTGAGTGTGTGTCTGAGATGGCAGTTAGAGTTCATTAACAGGAGCAATCTCGTGTAACTTTATGTTTGTTAGGGAAGTTTTATGTCATGAGAAGGCAGATGTTCACATGTGTAACTATAAGAAGAGCATTAGGATTGTAATAAACTCCCGTTGTGGTGCTTTTGAGACTTAGAAAAATATCGATTTTATTTTTAATTTTATCAGGCTTGCCAGACGAGAAAGGTCGACTACAGATCCTTCACATCCACACAGCAAGGATGAGAGGGCATCAGTTACTCTCTGCTGATGTAGACATTAAAGAGCTTGCTGTGGAGACCAAGAATTTCAGCGGAGCTGAGCTAGAGGGTCTGGTGCGAGCCGCTCAGTCTACTGCTATGAACAGGCACATAAAGGTGAGGAAAATCAACTAAACAGAACAGGAGTTTGTAGTCCTATAAGAAACCATGCTGGTATTCCTTTCCTGCATGCCAAGCACTAAGATAATGCTGATACTTGATGGATATGAGACATGGTAAAAGGAATAAGAATTCATTGTTCTGGGACCAGCAGATGGCATAATGGTTATATTGCTGGACTCTCATGTAGTCGACCACAGTTTGAGTCCCAGACTCAATGGCTTAAAACATACCAGGCACGTGTGTGTGCGTGCGTGCCTAAGATCCCAAGAGGAGAATGGAGAAGGGACTGTGGTGTGGCCATCCCTCTGGGGGCGGGGGGTGGTGGTGATTTCCCACTTTCTGTCTCTCTGTCTTTGTCTCTCTAGCGAGCAAAGGGACCCTATAGCAAAAATGTCTCTTTTTAAAAAAGGAATTAATTGTCAACTGCTAAACCTTCAGAATGGAAGGAAGAAAGATAATGGTGGCATCTGCCCTTTGGTAACCACCGACTCATCTACTTTAGGTTGCTACCCTCTGACATGTGAAAGAAAGATTTTGAAGTTTGTTTATTTCTTTTTTATCTTTGTGTATTAAGTTGTGAGAAGTCATAGGAAGTTGGATTTTTCTATGTACTAGGATTATGGGAGCTGTTTCAATCAGCACATATACTGAACACTTAGTATTTCTGAGTTATTTAGTTGGAGACATACAGATGATAAATCATGAACACTTTCCTCATGGAGTTCAGTCGGGGAAAGGGATATGTTTACAAATTAGTGCAATAATGTTATAGATACTCTAGCAGAAATATGTACAAGGATACTTCATTTTATTTTTAAAAATTTGCCAGAGGGCATGTGCACTCACCAGAGAGACAGGGAGAGGGAGCGAGGGGAAGCAAGAAAGCAGCTCCTGTGTGACATAGTCACGCCACAATCTCTTCTCCTCCATCCCCCACTTCGGGATCCTGGGCACTCATGCACATGCACCCAAGCATATTTATCAAACCGCCAGGTCTGTGACTTAAACTATGTGGTCATCCATGTGGGATCCAGCTACCTTAACCATTAGGCCACCGGCTGGCCCACATACTTTTATTCTGAATGAATAAAGTTTGGTAAAGGGCCCTTGATTATTTATCATCTTTCTTCTTCAAGTTTTCGTTATCACCTGGATGTAGGTAGATGACTCCCAGTTTATATCTTATCTCTTAAAAGTATCTTTCTCACACTACCAGATTCATGCTGACTATTACTTAACTGAATGTTTAGATTTAATACTCTAAAACCAAATTCACTGCCCTTTTACTACTTTCCTTCCTACTCCTATCTTCTTTTTTTTATTTTCTTTGAAGTTTTTGTGATAGGGCACATCACTTGCCAGTAAGAGAGAAACTGAAAAATCATCCCTTAGGGGGCTGGCCATGCCAAGATCTCTTCTCTGTTCTCTTCTCTGAACTCTGGGCTCACACGCTCATGCGCCCAGTGTGATTTCCAGCTGGCCAGCTCTAGGACACAAACCATGCATGCAGTCAGACCTGTGAGATCTGTGCCACCTGCTGGTCCCCTATTTTCTCTTTATCCCAATTTCCCAGGCTTAAAACTACTTAATTATCTTTGATTTCTGCCACTCTACTGTGTTTTATATCGAGTTTTTTTTGCCATATTTTGTCAGCTCTAGCTTGACAAATCTCACTGCCACAACCCACCTTCCCTGCGATTAACCTTCCTACTTCATGTCATTCTACCATTGAGACACCTTCAGCGACTCCCCCTTTTCTATAGTACGAAGTGCAGACTTCCTGTTCTGGTCTGTAAGGTCCTCTAGGTCTGACACGTATTGGTCTTTCCTGATGTATTCCTGATGACTATCCATACACATCAGCTTAACTGAGAGACTCACTGGTCATCAGACACTATTACTCAGCCTGTCTGCTTTTGCTCTTTTTTGGTTCATTGAGGATCATCCCCCTTGTTTACCTGACTTTTCATTACCTGACTCATAAGCTGCCACTTTCCTCAAACCTTTTCTGATTCTCCCTTTTAAGAATGATGTACTTGGGCTAGTAGATGGTGCAGCGATTATGTCGCTGGACTCGCACATGTTCAACTGCAGTTCAAGTCCTGGACCTGGTGGCTTAAAAACTCACGCCAGGTGAGTGTGCATGTGTGCCCAAGATCCTAGGAGAATAGAGGAGAAGGGATCACAGCATGGCTATCTTCCCTGGAGGTGATTTCTCACTTTCTGTCTCTCTGCCTCTCCAGCAAGTGCACATGCCCAGTAGCAAACTCCCCCCCCCAAAAAAAAAAGAAAGAATGGTGTACCTCTTAATTTCTTGAAAAGGTTATGTACCATTTATGGTATCTTCATTTGAGTTTGGTTCAAATAGATTTGTTTAGTACTTACTATATGCCAGATACTATGCTAAGAGCTGATACTCCAGCTTCAAACCAGTAAATTACCTACTGTCGACCTGCTCAGTCTCACCCTCCCACTCCATAGAGAAAGCACATGCAAGGTAGGGAAGTGAAAAGATGCCAAGTACGGTCAACTTGTAGGTGAGAAAAACCTTCACAGAGGAACTTTCCGGGTAAATATGAATGTCCCTTGGTGTAGGGCAGGGCATTTTAGGTGGAGGGAACAGCATACGCAAAGGGACAGAGACACAAAACAGCATAGTGCGTTAGGGCCGTTTCGTATTGCCTCAGAATACAGTAGGGGAGGGGTGGTAGAGAGAGACATTGTGGGGGATAAGTCAGGAGACTAAAGCGGGGATGGAGCACAAAGAGCCTTTTATGCTCTGCTAAGAAGTATGGACTTTTTTTCTGTTAGTAGTGCTAAGCCACTGAAGAGTTTTAAGAATAGCAGTGACATCGTGTTAAAACATAAGATCACTCTGGCAGCTGTGTCGAGTGCAGTATTTAGGGGAGTAGAGTTGGCGACACAAGACAAGAGAGGGGAACTTTTATAACAGTTCAGGCAGGAAATAATAAAGCTTGAACAGTCAGGTTGAGTGTGTGAGAGTAATTGGGGTATATCCTATCATTGGTTCTAGACCCAAGGTCAGGAAACTGTGGTCCATGAACCAATTCAGCCAGCTACCCGTTTTCATAGATAAAAAAAAATTGAAACACAGCCATGCCCATTAATTTATATATTATCTGTGGCTGTTTTTATGCTACAGTGGTAGAGCTGAGTATTCAACTATGGCCCTCAAAGCCTAAAATATTTACTGTCTCCAACTGGTAGTTATAGTGGTCTGATCCCACATGGTCAACTGCACAGTTTGGTCCCAGACTGGACAACTTGAAATACATGCTGGACAGGTGTGCATGCATGCCCAAAATCCCAAAGGAGGGAGAAATGGAGGGAAAGGGATTGCAGTGTGACCATCTCCCATGGGAGGTGCTTTCTTACTTTCTTCCTCTCTCTGTCTCTGGTAAGCATACATACTCCCTGCCAAATTTTTTTTAAAGAATTGTTTATTTAATGTTACTTATTTATTTGTTTTATTTTAATTTGGCCAGATAAATACACAGAGAGAGAGCAAAGGAGAGAAAGAGGGAAAGTGAGAAAGCAAGCCACAGGTCCAGGACTTGAACCGTGGCTGGCCATGTGGGAGTGTCCAGCACCTTAACCACCACGCCACCTGCTGGTCCCCCATCTCTGCCAAATTTTAAAAAATTACTGTCTGGCCCTCTACAGAAAGTTTGCCAACCCCTGTTATAGACGTTAAGCCCATTATCTTGTTCATCTCTGAATCCTCACAGGTCTATCTGAGTAGGTCTATCTATTGAATGAATGGTAGGTATTCAATAAATAGTTTCTCAGTGAGTAAATTAATATATGTATTCTGAATCAAACTCAAGCCATAGGTCATAATTTCCCTAC